CTGTCCTCGCGCGTTCCCCCCGCGGGACGGCAGGACTGTAACCTGCAGCTCGCGCGGGCAGAGGTCGGCTGCTCTGCGGTTATGGAAGGCTGCGTATTTTTTCAAGTAATTCCTGACCAGCTTTTTCGGTTGTGTTTGATGTGCATTCTTTTTATGTCAAATGGAAAATAAGTATTTTTAATAAATCCTGTTCTCATACAGCTGTAGTTTGTTTCTACTCTTTTTTGTAGAAAACAGTAATGATGAGAATATGACAAAGTTTACCTATTTTGGTAAAACTTTACCTGTTTGGCATTGATCTCCAGGGCTGTCAAAATGTGTTTGATCTTAACAGGTTCAAACATATGTTATATTGCATTTTAACTTCATAATTTTACAGTGTTACTGCTTTAAAAAAAAAAAAAAGCTACCTTTTGACATCTTGACTCTTACTTATCATTTCCCTTTACTTCACTATAAACTAGTCTTAAAAGCTAGGATTTTTTTTTTTTCCTTAGAAGGGAGATGAGTCATTTCCCTTAATCCAGATGATACTTCTCTCTGTACAGGACCTGAAGGCTGGCCAGAGGCCTGATCTGGTTCAGCCCCGCACCATGGTGGAAAAGAAGAACAGATCAGCTCTCTCCTAGGCTGGTAAGGTGGTTGGATGTGTGTGAGGCTTTCCCAGGAAAGGGAGGGGTGGCATTTGACCAAAACCAGGATTCTCCTTCCTCTCTGTCTGCAGGGCAGCTGTGCTGCCCCTTGGAGAATATGCTGCAACCTTCATGTGAAGGTTGTCCAGGTGCCCCAGGGAGACGTAACAGTCCAGACCCGCAGTCAGGATGTTGGGTTGTGCTGCTCCTGACAAGTAAAATTCACCAAATGGTCACTGAAATAAACCTCTTGGTACCTCAGCGTTAAGAATCAGGCGTTCTCTTTATTGCAGTGCTGGATGCTCGGTGGGCAGCTCCACCTCTCATGCATCCTGTATCTTGCCTTGGCCAGGGCGTATATCCCCCTGCTGCATACATAGGCATTAAATTTCCCGGGATGATCATACATATTCATGCTATTTCCTGGAACTAATTACAGTATGTCCCACCCGCACACACATGTGCCCCCTGTCCCTTTGGGGGGCCCAGGGGCTGGTCTTCAGGTGTCCTTTCTGTGAACTCCTGCAGCTTCTCTCCATTTATGGTCTCATTTTGGCTCGATTTGGCCGCATTGCCCAGTTTCAGACAGTTCCTTGAAGATGCGGTAGTCCTTATTGACTGATGTCTGCTGTTTTGTCTGCGCTCCTTCGGGATGTACCAGCAGCAGCTGCAAAAAAATGTCCTTGGGTGCATTCTTGTGTGAGGCCCCTTATAACAGCATTATGGTGCCTGTGGTACCGAGCCTGTTTCCACACTTAGATTTAAACTTTAATTTTAAAACTTGAATTTAGTTCTGCTGAACGGAAGATTCAGCTGCATACAGTGTATTCACTTTGCCTCTGGCAGCCCGTTATCTGCCTGGCAAAGCCCACACACACCTGCAGTACGAAGCAAGGGGCAATGAGCTGGGTGCTAATGTAAAAACCAGAATCCAAAGGACTCCAGAGGCCCTCCAGGCTCCTGCTACGGCTGCTCATTAGCACAGTGAGGCTAGTGGGGCTTCCAGTAGGTTTTTGGCAGCTGCCGCTGGGTCGCAGAGCTCACAATTTGCAATGGGACGTCGGTCCCAGGGAGTCTGCGTGTTCCCTCACGGTGCCTCCATCGGCCCAGGGGTTGTGAGCAGCCCGAATTCCTCGATCTCGGAGCGCCTGCCCGGGGACCTGCAGGTTTCCCAGGCTCCCAGCACTAATCTGCCGAGAGCTCCTGTAGGAGTTACCCTGCAAACACTGGCCAGGGTTTGCCTGGACTAGATTTTACTGCTTATGAAAAGATTCATACACAGTTGCTTTAACTCACAGAAGAACCCAGAAATTTCTCACTATATAGATAAAACATAATTTGATGAGATGTGCTGATGTGCACACACTGAAGTATCATGATTTCTAGGTCGGTGCTGGGAATTACATTTTCCAAAGCTATTTGTACCAGTGTTTTGTGTTTTATTTTCTTACTGATAATCCTCTACTGCAGCAATCTAACACATTTCTTTGGTTTATCTGTGCATAGCTATCACATTTTCCTCCTAACAAGGGTAAGCACAGATGCTTAATGGATGACAACTCTTAAACTTTTCTATAAGGCTTCAAGGGGTTATTGTATTTCCTGACACTATTATCCCTGTCCAGCCACCACCTGCGTTTTGTGTCCTGCTGGGTGAGTAATTGCAACTGAACAAAGAGAGAATGCAGCAAATGACAGAAATTCCCTTCCCGTTGTCACAGGCACGGAAGAAAAGCAGCTTGGATATCAGGTTTAAATCAAAGGTTATCTGCTTGTTATGGGCTCTGCCACCCTGTGCTTACAAAGGAGGCACAGGCAGGTTGTCTGGGCAGGGTGCCCAGTTCCTGTAATGCTGTTACTCGCTGCCTCCAATAACACAAGGGAGTCTATATTTATTGTAAATGCCAATAACATGATGGTCAATACAAACTTCTCTGTGATGTGTACTGAAAGGCTGCATTCCTATTTTTAAATCTGGGAATTTTACTGCATGTGGAAGGAATATATATATATATATTTTCCCTGACATGATGTAGGACTGATTTTGTATAAAAATGCTCACAGGTAACTAGATAGAGATACAACTACTTCTTAGTTACTCTGACATAAGGGAAAGGGGAGGGGAAGACAGATCAAAGTTACAGCAGGACGTTTTAATATTAGGATTTTTTAATTACGCAGTTGATTCGGGGAACAAATTGTTGTACTATTATTTTAAATTG